CAGGAAGAAGCTGGGTGATGGACGGCCGGGCCACCGATGGCGTGGGCGGGGCAGTGGTGGTTGGGCAGTGCTGTACCTTGATGTAGGGCACCCAGAAGAGGCCGATGTTGAACACGCTGTAGGCCACGAAGCCTGTCAGGTTCAGGGCCACAAAATCAAAGCTCAGCCCAACAACACTGCAGGGTGGAGGGAGAAGCCGGACTGGGGTCACTGGAGGGCTCGACCCACCTTAATGACAGCACTGTCCTTAGGTTCCTCTCCATGCCATCCAATCCCTGCCTTCTTGAGAGTCAGTTCCCCCCCTCCCCACTCCAGTCCTGGTCAGGAGGCCTCCTGCAGAGAGGGTGCACCTCCCTGCTAGCTCCCTGCTTAGCAGCCTGCTAAGAGGCCCACCTGGCTCGGGTGACTATAGGACAGCTTATGTCCTTGCCACACAGGGACGCGGCCCCGGGAACACTTAACCAATGACTGCCTCATCACCAAGTGAAGGGCCCCTGACTTGGCTCCTATGTCTTCCAGAGCCGGATGGACCAAGGGAAAGGCCTGTTCAGGGTGGATTTCCCCCTCGCCTAGCCCCTTCTCTTCTTAACTGAGAAGCCCCATCTTGTTACTTTCGCAGAGACGGGCTGAACTGGGCAAGGGACCAAATGAGGAGCACTCTCACATCATGAAAGGCCCTCTCGGCTTCCTCGAAAGGGCAGGTGGAGGAGTCGAGGGGCAAGTCCGAAGCTGCACTGCCGAGGCCTCGCTAGAATGCCTGTTCTTCCCTACCCCAGCGAGCTTGCCCTCTCAGCTCTGCAGCTTACCTTTTCCGCCTCCAGTTCGTGATCACCTGAGGGTAGAAGGAGATGGACCAGGCCACGAAGTAGATCCAGCCGATCACCTGGTTTACGACACTAACGACATTGCTGTGGATCACCAAGAAGCATATCCTGGGACTAGGACAGAATCAGGGATGAGGGAATGAGAGAAGGCTTCCGGTGAAATCCCCCTTGCCCCGGCGCCTGGCTGCCTCCCTTCCCTCCTAAGGCCCACCCAGGCCAAGGCCAGCCTACCCTGTCTGGTTGGAGTGATTTCCGTGCAGATAAGCAGTGACTTGTCCAACATTTTGAGACCTCACTTGAAAAGAGGTATTTGTCACTCCAGGAGGCACCACCACCTGTTAGGAAGACGGAGCTCAAGCCGAAGCCACATACAGTCACAGAAGACCCCACTGCTAGCCCAGCTCCGGACTACATGCCAGGGAGTGGAGGGACAGAGCACACAGGGGCACCGCCGTCCAGGAGCTTCCTAACCAAAGGAGGGGACGTTGGGCCAACCAGCCCACCCAGGCCGCCATCTCTGTGTCACATATCCTAAGCAGAACTACAGCCTTTCCTCAGGGCCTTGCTGGGCTCATCTCTGAGGTGGGTGGCCTGACCCTCTTCTCACTAGACACATGAGCTCGAGCAAGACATTGAAGCCCCGATCTCAGTTTGCTCATCTGTGAAAAGATGAAAGTGTCTATTATACAGGGCTGCTATGAATGACATAGTGTCCAAAAGGCTTCCTGTGCAGAGCCTGGCTAGGAGCAAGCGATTCTACACGCAATGACTGCTCCTTCTGCTTCCACTGCAGTAGGCACTTCAGTGGCCACAGAAGGACATCTGTCCCATGCCCAGCCTGGTTGCCAAGTGACACGATGGAAGAGGTGCTTACATCAGGTATTTGAGAGGGAGAAATTTTCATTTCTGCCCAATATTTATCAAAATTCTTGGGAGACCTCCCTGCAGTATGTGACCTCCTCTTCCCCGAGTGGCAAGGAATGGCATGGTATTGTTACTGAGTCTCTAACCTGTTGCTTCCTGGCTAACACTCAGGGTCCTATTGGTCACCTACAGTGCAGTTGCCCCAAGGATGTAGCTCACTGGATTGCAGTGACTTTATTTATTTATTTTTTTAATTTTAAAAATTTTATTTAAGTTTTTTGCCATAAGGTGCATGCACTTGCCAGAAAGAGAAAAAGAGTGGGAAAGTGAGAAATCACTCCCTAAGAGGGGGGTGGCCACACTCCAATCCCTTTTCTTCCATTCTCCTCCTGGAATTTTGGGTACCACACATGCACCTGGCGTGATTTTTCAAGCCGCTGGGTCTGGAACTCAAACCGCAGTTGGTCATGTGAGAATCCAGTGCCTTAACCACCACACCACCTGCTGGCCCCACAGTGGCCTCTTTTTTTTTTTTTTTTTTCTTTTTTTAGAGTTTTTTTTTTTAGGGGTGGTGGCCAGAAAGACAGAAAGAGACAGAGAGACAGAAAGTGAGAAATCACTCCCCAGGGGGGATGGTCATGCCACAATCCCTTCTCCTCCATTCTCCTCTCAGGATCTTAGGCATGCATGCACATGCACCCGGCGTGAGTTTTAAGCCACCGGGTCTGGGACTCGAACCGCAGTCGAGTGTCGGAGTCCAGTGACACAGCCATTACACCAATTGCTATTCCTGACCGTGGCTTCTTAATGAGGACCCCTGAGGCACTGCCTCTGGGAGTTAGCACCAGAAGTCAGGGGGCTTTCGTGGAACAGTAGAATGGTATGGGTGACTGCTGCAAAGCCCGGGGTCCAACTTATGGTCTGTATGCAAGCTACATCTTCATGACAGGTACCACCTTGGCTCGCTTATTTTCCCATCACCTTTTTCTTACTTTTACTAGATTTTCCTTTCAACATTTGTGTATGTGTAAGTGGCCACTAAATCTCTTCTGGTACATGGCAGGGAGAAAATCAGTCCATTGGAAAGCAAGCAACACAAGGCAGAATGAGTCGATAACAATCACTGCCTCTTACTGAGCGCATTGTACAACCCTCGACATCAGCGCTTGTTATGGCATTAGTCCTCATAATGCTGTCAAGTAGATGGTACTGGCCCTACGCCTGCTTATGAGGAAACTGTGCTGCAGCGGGGTGAAGTACCCTACCGAGCTCACAGGCCAGCTGCCTAGACCATCTGATTCCCAAGTTATGTTGAGCGGTTTCCAGTGTAACAGGCAGAAGTGGTTAGAGCTGGGTGTGCAGGGGCCAGTGAAGTCTGGGCTTGAAGACGTGGGCTGGGGCGTTCTGTATACAAATGGTTGAACACTGACTCCCATCATTAATTTTTGAATTGAACTATAATATACATGCAGAACAGTACACACATCACAGCTTGATGAGCTGTCTATAGACCGAATGCACCCAGCTCCCAGATCTTGCAACGGACCATTTCCCACACCCCAGAAACACAGAAGCTCCATTCCCTTCCAGTCTCCCAAGACCCCAAGGGCAACTATTGCCAGGTAACCCTGACTAATACCATGGATTTGCTTTGTCCTGTCTGGCTTTGTACTTCATAGACAAGGAATTGTACAGTGTCACGCTTCTTTTACTTCACATTGTGTTTGACTTTCGCCTATTTTGAAAAGATGATACTGTCACTTAGAGGTTTGACACTAAATGAAGTGATCAGCGTCCATTCCTCTGAGAGTCTAAATTTGATCTGTGGATCAAGGCAGAACGCAGGGGCTGTGTGTCTGGACCTGCTGTCAGGACTGACGGCAGCCCTGCCTTGCATGCTGGGTGTGAGAAGCGGCTGTCTAATGAGATGTGGTGCTCCCCAGGGGACAGGACTCGCCTCACACAGAATCCTTTAGAAGTACGCTCTGAGGACCTCTGTCAGCAATGCTGGACTTTCCACACCACAGACTCCCAATCTCGTCAGATTATGTTTGGTTACTCTTTGCCCGGTAGGGTGCTCAGAGCTGATTTGCAGCCCATTTCTACAGCCACCCTGGGCCTCATGGCATGCCTCTTGGCTATCAATCTTATCTGTATTCATTTCAAGTCCTCTCCCGAGTGCGCGTGCGCGTGCGCGCGCACACACACACACACACACACACACACACAGAGGGAGGGAGGGAGAGAGAGAGAGAGAGACAGAGAGCACGCGAGTGAGCACCCTGCAATGGGGTATGGTCACACTGCAATTCCCTTTCCCATTTCTCTATCCTATCAGGATTTGGGGTTTGTATGAACATGTACCCAGTGTGTTTTTCCAGCCACTGGGGCTAGAATTCAAACCAAGGTTGGCCATATGAGGTCAGGCTCCCTTAACTACTAGGCCATGGGTCAGCCCTCCCCCATCTTTATTAAGATATAATTTACCCAAAATTGTATATATTATAATGTTTTGACATGTGTGTACATTGTTAAATCAAGCTATTTAACGTACCCACCACGTCATGTACTTTAGTGGTGGGAACATGTAAGATCTAATCTCTGGCAATTGTCAAGGACACAATATGTTATTAACTGTGGTCACCATGCTGTATGACCAATCTCCAGAAGTTATTCATTCTAACTAACTTGCATCGTGCTGTTCTCTCTTAAACCCTATTTACTCTGAGTTGCTGCCTCCATGGATGGTTTTAACTAGCTGAGTGGCAACTAGCTCAAATCCTCAGGAAGGTGGAAGCAGGCACATGTCAATAGATATGTGTATGTAGGGGATAGCAGGTGGCGTGGTGGTTAAGGCGCTGGACACTCCCACATGGCCGACCACGGTTTAAGTCCTGGACCTGGTGGCTTGCTTTCCCACTTCCTCTCCCTTTCTCTGGTCAAATTAAAATAAATGAATGAATAAATAAAATTAAATAATTAAAAAAATAAATAATTCTTAAAAAAAATAGATATGTGTAAAGTTACAAATAAGGGTTACATTAGACCAGACAGCCTCTGGCATTGGTTTTTGGAAATGATTTGTAAACTTTGCTGTGCACCCAAAACTTCTTGCTAACATGTAGACTTTGGATCACAGTCTGGGAAAAGGCCTGACATTCTGCATTTTTTTTTTTTTTGAGAGGTTTTTGCTATAGGGTGCATGTGCTCGCCAGAAAGACAGAGAGAGACAGAGAGAAAGAAAGTGAGAAATCACCCCCCAGGGGGGATGGCCACGCCGCAATCCCTTCTACTCCATTTTCCTCTCGGGATCTTGGGCACACACGCACACATGCCTGGCATGAGTTTAAGCCACCGGGTCTGAGACTCGAAGCACAGTTGACTACATGGGAGTCCAGTGACATAGCCATTACGCTAACTGCTGGTCCCGACATTCTGCATTTCTTAAAGGTTTAAAATTGAGGCCAGTGCTGCTAGCCCTTGAATGCCCTTATAGTAGCAAGGTCTTAGAATATTATATATATATAGGTATGTATATATTTTGAGAGATTTTTGCTATAGGGTGTGTGTGTGTGCTCACCAGAGAGACAGAAAGCAAGAAATCACCCCCTAGGAGGGAGGGCCATGCTGCAATCCCTTCTCCTCCATTCTTCCCCTGGGATTTTGAGCATGCATGCACACGTGCCTGGCATGAGTTTCAAGCCACTGGGGCTGGCACTCGAACTGCAGTCAGCCATGTGGGAGTCCAGCGCCTTAATTACCATACCACCTACTGGCCCCAGAAAACCATATTAAGGAGCTGGCCCTATAGTGCAGTGGTTAAGGGAGCCTGATCCCACCTGGCCAACCGCAGTTCAAATTCTAGTTCAGGCAGTTTGAGAAACACACCAGGTGGGAACTAGAGGTTGGCGTAATGGCTATGTCGCTGGACTCCCATGTAGTCGACCGTGGTTCGCGTCCCGGACCCAGTGGCTTAAAAAGCCGGCCGCGGGTGTGTG